AGAGGCCAAAAAGAGTTACAGGCTGTTCCTTCTTTGAGGTGACTCAGCCAGAGATCAGTAGTAGTCTCTCAGAGATCCTCCGCATGATGTCCCGCAAGGGACCATCGACCAGCCAGAAATGGATGGATCGCAACAGCCGTGTGGCCCCTGCCCTCCCGCCCTCGGCGCAGGAGAGATGCCGGAGGAGCGGGAGGGAGGGCTGGGTGCTGGCAGCGCTGGGCACCGGGTCTGCAGGGAAGCCCCCACACCAGGGCGGGGGGAGGTCCTGCAGCTAGTAGAAAATACAATAAGTAATAACAATCATAACATGAGGAGGGGGATCCAATACGTAGAAGGCTTTTCAATTCATTGCCATACATCGGTCCATAAGAGTTTATTTTTCCCCTGTGCTTAAGCACGTAAATACTTTGTAAAGTTTGAGACAGGGACTGGATTGCTGCTCTGAACTGTGTTTTGTTTTGAGAAGAAAAACAAAAAGCTTACTCAGAATACGGCCGTGGCATCCATTGCTTACATCATTGACCTTACTGAACGAATGAGTTGAACAAAAGGAACAGTGCTGCAGCAGGGCAATCCGCCCCGGCTCCGGCAAACCCCACCCGACCACTTCTGTTCCCAGCTCTGTGTACTCTCTGTGACTGCTCCTCATGTTCAGGCAGATGGGAGGTGTGCACACGCCTGTTAGCACATGTAATTGTGCATTTTGGGTTGTTCAACTGAACAACAGATATTCACAAATTTGAAAGCTAGAGATTCCTTTAGTTTTGCAACAAAAGAATCCCAATACTATTAGCAGATGGGTACCCCAGGAGTAACGTAGCCACGTTCCTTCATGGGGAAGGGAATGACTCTTATCCGGATTCATTCTCTGTGTACTGTGTATGATCGCAACAGCAATTATTATATATGCATTTTTTTTTCCATATTGAAAGGAAAACCTGCAGTCTCTTGCCCCCTGCAGTTTTTAGTGAATACTGTACATAAATGATTTATTTCTTTCTTTAGAAAGGGCTTTGCTCTGCGCGGCATCTGTCATCTTGGGATTTCCCCCTCCCCCTCTTGCAGAAAGGTAGCTGGAAGCTGTTTGACTCAATCTGAGCACAGCTCAAAGTCGGTTGTATTAATTCCATCAAGCTTCATCTACTCTTTAACATTCTCTTTCATCTGGTGAGGACCTTCATTAATATGCACCCTTTGTGATTAAGGTAGCACTTACAGGACCATCACAGGATAATGTGCAGATTACTGCGCTTCAGAAATACTGCCCTGTCATTCGTCCGTGAAATTCAGCTTTCTAGAGTTTTTCTAAAAAGTACTTAAGGTAATAAAAAAAACCTTTTTGAATTACCTCTTTATTTTTAATCAAGAAAAGCCATGCTAACAACTGCCCTCTAACATATGAGCTCTTAATTTGCTGTGGCACGAAGATGGGCAAAGGAACAAGATTTCAACTGAAAGAGGGGGCAACAAAAATTAAGATGGATCAAATAAGCTAACCTATAAAAAGTCAGAAACCCAGCGGGATAGTAAGGTCCATTGCTGGTAGCTCTTCTTAAGGGGAGAAATAACCGTGTTACACTACTTACCACATAGTAATAACTGTTAGGAAATGCTGTGAACTTTTATTTATTTTTATTTTTATTTTTTAAACAAAGTTCAAAGTAGCATTCTGAAATAGAGTGAACTTCTGCGTAAAGGTCAAGAAAATGCAGTTGGTGGTGTGAGATGAAAGGCAAAAATAAAATGGGTAACAGGACAGAGAAACTTTGGAAGTAGATGATGTATCAAAGGAAAGAACAACAGAGGTCAATAAAGAAGAAGATTAAAGTAGGATAGGAAAAGTAATCAGAGAAGGTCTCAAGTGAAAGCTGTTGGAGGGTAAACTACATATTGCAGAGAAGGAAGTCTTTGAATCGTTAAGTACACCACCTAGTGTAGTCATGCCTTTTCTGATGGTCAAAACTGCGCTCACTGAAGTGAGTACAAAGATTTCAGCAGATGCAGAACTGAGCCTACAAAGAGGCTCAGCAGCATCACCACTGGCAATGGCAAGTGTCACCCACTGGGGCTTTTGTGATCACAAAGAAGAGCTGGAGAACTGTCACCAGCACAAAGCACACGCAGCTCAGCCGTGCACGGCTCATGGGAACCCCCTTTTCCAGGCGTGCCGTTGCCAGAGGACCTGGAGCCAACCCACCGGGTGCTGGGACTCCTGTGGGGAGGTGGGGAGGTACGTAGGGCAGCTCATCGCAAGCCTGCGAAATGCTTTGGTGTATGATCACGTCTGCGTGTCTTGCAGAGAGAGACATCAAAAAGAATGGGAAGATAGGAGGCTTATCAGCACATCAAAGTGGAAGGTGGTGCTAATACACCTGCACTGAGGTTGAAAGCAGGATTGCTTGTTTAGTGAGCAGAATACGGAGAACCTAACTTTATTCCAGGATAAAGTAATATTTATTTCAGTTATTTAGCAATACAGTTCTATGCCGAGTGGAGGCCAGAGCAAAGGATCAGGGCTGGGATGTGGGAACACGCTATGAGAACAGACCTTTCAGGAATGTGGTGGCATGAATTGCAGTTGAACCAAGGAAGGAGCTTTGTATGCAGAGAAGGACCCTTGTATACGGGATTATTTTTTTTTTCCCCTGCCCACTGTGCCTGTAAAAGGATAATTCTGGCTTTACAGAATGGCCTATCCCCTCTGTTGGAGGGTGGATGACTGCAAGGGTGTAAGGAAGCAGTAGTTCAGGACTCCCACGAAAGCTGAGACCTAGCCCTATACCTGTTCACCAGGAGTGTTAGAACATGTTGGGTAGACAGACAACTTCCAGAATGCTGACCCGGAGAAGAGAGGAGAACAAAACAAAAATGACTAGGAGGACGGGATTATCTGTAAGCAACAGACAAAAGCGGGGTTCAGCTGGGACCTTGCAGGTTTAAATGCCTTCTCCTGCATGTGGACAGGCACATGGGGCCTGACCTCCATCACTGCTGCTGGTGAGAGATGGGCTGGAGGTGAGCTTCATGCTGTGTGTGTGCACAGTGATGCCTTGAGCTGGAGACTGTCCAGAGGGGCCCAGTCTCTGTGGCTGAGAGGTTAGGAGAAAGGAAGGAGAGAGAAACAGACGTGGCATAAGAAGTAGAGAAAGCAAGATGTTGAATGTTAGGGAAGAACCAAAGGTAAGGTGGGAAGTGTGGCTGCAGTTCCCCTTCTCAGACCATATGGGCTACTTGGACCTGGGAATTACTTTCTTTGCTCTTAACTGCAAATGTCTGTGTTTGTGTAAAGTATCATTTATGGGGCAATTCCATCGTTTTTGTAAAGATTTGCACATCACATTTGCATTGTATTGTTTGCACACCAATCCCATGTAGTTGTCCCTCCTGCATTTAAAAATGTCAGATATGTTACAGCTGTAAACAAATATTGAACATGTAGTAACTACTAGCTTTGCTAAAACCCCCATTTAATAATAGGACTGCATGCTATTGGTTCATGGCAGGCATATTAGCAAATGCTTGAAGGATGTGCAGAAATAGTAGAAGGCAGGAAAAGTTTTTGGAGTGAAAATTAAGTACTGTTTTTAGGGTCTTCAAAAAGAGTGTGTTGGCAGTGGATAACGGTTGGTGTTGAGGAAAAGGAGGGTTGCTATGATAACATTAGGCCCTACTGGCTGGGGGAAGCGAGGGGGCAGAGAAAGAAGTGGATTAAAGGAATTTCTTCCCACAGGAAAAGGGAGCTTCACTCTTGAAGGGGAACCAGGGAGTGGAGTAGGGCAAGGAAGGCTTATTTATGCTTTTGAGGATGACGACCAGCCCAAAGAGGGGAAACAAAGATACTGCCACAGCTTTATGTGTGTGGAGGGAGTGTACCACTGTCTTGAGGGGTGGCAGGGCCTCCAAGAAGCTCTAGAGAGTAGGTGGGACTTGGTCAAGAATTGTATCATCTTGCAGCACTGCTGAAAGCAGTATCCACTGTTGGGGGTGCTTTCTGCCTCAGAAAAGAGAGCAGGTTGTGGAACAGAAGAAACATGGTTATCTCAAGCGGGACTGGAAAGCTCCTCCATGAATCACTGTGCTTCCCACTTGGAACTAGGGCACGTGATAGCAAAAGATGCTCTGATGAGAAATGTGGAGATATACCTTCTCTCTTACTAGCATCGACTTCTTCCTCTCTCATCAACCTTTCCTTCCCCTGTCCTCTTTGCCAGTTACTCTATTGCCTGTTTTATCCCCTCTATTGTCCCTGTCTCAGGTCTCACACACGAAGCCTCATCTTCTTCAGTATCATAAGATGGGATTGGAGTAACGAGGGGTTTGAAGAAGCAAGATAGAAGCCAGAGAAAAAAATACTCAGTTGAAGAAGGAGCACCATACTTGTTGTCTTGTGTAGTGTTCTTGTTCAATGAAATTAACTGTACATTCCCATAATTAATTCCTTTTTCTTGCAGTTACATCAATTAGCATATAACACAGATAAAGCGAAGAGACAGTGGTTGGTATTTTGCCTTCAGCAGCCAGCAGTGCGATATGTCAAGCCATCAAATTGTCTATGTGCTGGAGATAATTTCTCCCTTTGAAAAAAAAGTGCCCACCATTAAGGCACTAGCAAAGAAAAATGAGCCAGAAGTTTAAGGCAAAGGGGCAGTGCTTCAAATGTACATTTTATGCTGCTAAAGAGATCCACAGCACTGTGACCAAAATCCCATTAAATGGAACACTTTCTATTTAAATCTCCCCATGACATGTTTCTGGTGCTACTGTACCAGGGAGGCGCATAACTGTCAGGCTTAGAGGCTGCTCTTCTTTTCTTCCTCCAATGGCTCCGCCGACTCAGGCTGTCACTTCCACTTCAGGATCCCGGGCTAAGCGCCAAACCTCTGGGCTGAACAACACCTTACCTCTGACCGCCGCTGAACCCCTTAACTTGTGTGCATAACCCAGCAGGACATTAGCAACTCAGTGCTTGGGTCAGAAAACTCAAGAGCTCACAAAGGAAATTGCGATGCCGTTTCTCCTTCCCCTGAGCCTCCGGGGGCTGTCAGCTCTGCCGTGTCCCTTGTGGGATGTCCCTCATGGGGTGAGCTCCAGCACAGCGTTATTGACAGGTGCATGGCTTGTCGTTCCCGGCTGGCAGAAAGGCCTCTGCAGCATTAACCTGGCCAACACTGAGATGCCAGCAATAACTCAAACCGCACCCAGTTCTGGGCTCCCCAGCTCAAGAAAGATGAGGAACTCCTAGAGAGAGTCCAGAGGAGGACAACTAAGATGATGAGGGGACTGAAGCATCTCTCCTGTGAGGAAAGATGAGGGAGCTGGGCTTGTTTAGCCTGAAGAAGAGAAGACTGAGTGGGGATCTCATCAACACTTAAAAATGTCTTAAGGGTGGATGTCACAACGACAGAGCCAGACTCTTCTCGGTGGTGCCCAGCGACAGGACAAGGGGCAATGGGCACAAACTGAAGCCTAAGAGGTTTCAATTGAATATGAGGAAAAAATTCTTTACTTTGAGGGTGACAGAGCACTGGAACAGGCTGCCCAGGGGGGTTGTGGAGTCTCCTTCTCTGGAGATATTCAAAACCGGCCTGGACGATGTCCTGTGCAACCTGCTCTAGGTGAACCTGCTTTAGCAGTCGGGTTGGACTAGATGATCTCCAGAGGTCCCTTCCAACCCCTGCCATTCTGTGATTCTGTGAAACAAGTTTTTGGTTGCTGCTTTTACAGTCACCTGTTGGGCGTTTGAAGCAAGCTGCAGCTTCTGACCTGCATGGGCCAGAGCTTCTCACCACTCAGGGCAGCAAACTGGGCTGATTTACAGTTAAAGTCTGCATTCGCCCACTATTAACATCTCTCATTACCTGAAATACCACACTTAGCTTGCTTTTGAGGGCTGATCACAGAATCTTGGATACACTTAACGCTGGTTTACATTAAACGCTTGTTGTGAAATGCTTTTAATAATCCCAAGTGCAGAGCACTCAGGGTGGAGTGTAGGAGCTGGTTCAGAGGAGCAGAGAAAAACTTGCTTAGCTGGATCTTAATAGATTGTCACCCCAAGCTCCCCGGTTATTGACGATGTTACAAACAAAAGTATAAGAGAAAGAAGGAATGTAAATGATAAAATAAAGTCTAGGAGTCCTACTTTGTCCACTGAGAGGCTAAAATATTCCTCCTTTTACATTCCGTATAGGAAGGACAGATTTTTTGCTCCCAGTTCAAGTGTTTTGATGCAATCATAATTTCTACAATGCAGACAGCTATTGCACTGTTTTCATGTTTACTTAGTTTGTAAAGTATATGGAAAACTCATTAGATTTGGGAGTCCTCCTAGAAAGAACTAGCGGTAGCCAGTAGCTCAACCAGAGCTGTTCTTTTAGTTAGGAATATTTTTCATTTTTGCATGTTGGGTTTGGTTTTTCGTGTCTTGGACTTGGATATTGATTGAACTTTACTTTTTGAAATGGCTTGATCGGTTGTCTTAGTCTTGGTTTTCTTGCTTCATCCCAGCACGTTAACCACACTGCAAAAGGGAATAACTTTCAGGTAACTATTCAGTGTCTATCTAAAGTATTTTTACTCCCTTCTTGCAGTTTACAGTGGACATCACAGTTACTGGCAGCAGTGGTAACTTCCTTGGAGGTCTCAGAAAGGACGCAAAGACCTAAATTACCAGGTAAGTACTAGCTCCAAGGCGGCTGATTTTCCATATCAATCTGTAGTCACATTGGGCAATGCAGAAGTCTGAATTAATGTTCAGGCCCCTAGCATCCTTCCTAGCACTTGCTACGTAAGAAGTAAGCTTGGCTAAAATCCTCCAAAACCCACAATCCCAAATAAACTAAGAGAAATAATATATTTAAAGGCAAGAGCACGTTAAAATGCAGTATCTATCGGGTATCTGAGCCTATACTTTGTCGCAAATATTTTTTAATAATTTTCCTGGCCAATATTACTATTTATCAAAGCTCTCTTTTGTTTAAGCAAGGGCTTCCTGCCTCACAGCCTGCCTGCGTGGTCCTGCCGTGCAGCCATTATGCTGAATTTATGACTCAACAGTAATTACGGTGCCAAACCCAACCAGCTGCTGTTTAAAAAAGATCCCCCCCCCAAAAAAAAGAAACAAAACCACTGGATTGTGCCTAACAATGCAGAATTAGATGGTAGAGGACAGGGAAGCTTTATTCAAGCGCTAATGTTCCACTGAACTAGCAGGGACCCTGGGAATGAATGGCAGAGTAAGTAGCACGTTGAATAAATGTCTCCTCCAAGTTTGCTCCATTGTAAGAGCCCTTCTCGGTGTACAGTGTTGCCACAGTATAAGGCACGCAGAGAGCCAAATGCTCACTTAGAGTGAACAAAAGCCCGTCTCCCGCTGTTGCTTAATGCTGTAACTTTTATTAGCAGCAAGTGACAGCAGTTTAGCCTCCCTTCCTTTTTCTAGATGATTACATTCTTAAGCCGATTGACTGTGTTGACTAAAGGCAGCTGTTGATCCACACTCGTTCCTCTTACACACACAATGGCGCAGGAAGAAAAGAAACGCCAGATTTTGTGTGTTCAGGAGAAGCTTAAGATTTTGATTGCCTGAACAGAGGTGAAAAATCAGTTGCTGTATCAGGAGCCGAAGATCCCTAAGGGCACAGTTTCCACATGCCCAGCAAAAGCAGGTGGGGCTGCTCTGAGTTTGGGACCCCAGGGCTGAGCCTCCCTCCTAAGGTCCCTTTCCCTTCCCTCTTGCCCCAGACATGGGGGGAAGTATGGGGAAGGGGAGCACAGCAATAGTATGGATTTGGTTGGATTTGGGCTGCTAAGTCACTAAACTTATAAAGGGAAAACCCTACCAAGAAGTGGGAGGATTAGTGAATCAACTATAAATGCAGCCTGCAGCCTTCACACACAGTTAAATCGAGCTGTGTAAATGGAATTTGTTTTCTTTTTCTTGTGGGTAGTGGTTGTTAATACCTAGATCTGTTTCCACCACCAAGTCCAGGCAGGTGCTTTGCCCCACGCTCAGAGGACCCTCCGGACATCCAAAGCGGTAGCTGCCTTTTTTGCCTTAGGGATGCAACGCCAGTGGCATGGGGATAGGGATGGTGTCGAACGTTCAGTTCGCTGAACTTGCATGCCATCCTTTGAGCTTGCAGACAGCACTACAAGCTGTGTGGATAGCGTTGGGAAAGGATTCCTCATAACTGCACAATAGCTGAGAAGCTGGTTCTTGCAGAGGAACTCCCTTTTAAGTAACTTGTCTGTGCGAATTGGCACAAAATTTTACCCAGGAGAAAAGATGACAGTGGAAGTGGTGTTGCAGCTATAATTACTCAATTAAGCTTTTTTTTTTTTTCCTCAAGGAAAAACATGTCTTAGGTATCACCTTATCTGGTGTAAAATGATGGGGAAAAACCCAGTCTCTTTCTGCAAATATTTAGGAGACAAGTTTCCTGTCTCAGCCCCTGTTGGGTCCAAAGCACAGTAAACACATCAGTTAAAGGTAAAAGGAAGAAGTTCCTTTTGTTGCGCTCCTTCTTCCTAGAAGGAAAGACCAAACAACAAATGAGAAATGCTGGCATCCTTACTATCTTTTGCGCCTCTCTCTCTGCACATACCTAAGCTCCCATTCATATTTGCGTGACATAAGATGATTTATGCAGCTGAAGCATTGGCCAGACAGACCGCTTGTAAACTGCTGGAAAAGCTGCTTGATTCTGCCTTGTGCAGTGTGAAAATGGATTTATGTACAGTGGGAGAACTTAACAGGGATGACAATTTGATAACTGACATTGTTACGGTAATTTAATAAGAGGAGAAAACCTAGACTAGATCTCAAAAGCTTGAGTAGACATAGATAATAGCTCACTGGTAAACCATATCCTGAGCAATGGAAGTGCTGCCAGTGTGCTGTCAAAGAAGGAAATTCTGTTCAGTAATGAAACAAGACACATTAGGGAAGCAGGTGGCTTTCAAGGTGGCAACAGAAGTATGGGTGTGGGGCTGAGCTGGAATAAAAGGGTTGAAAGGGTCAGGGTCCAATGGACTTAGCACCAAGGAAATGGAAAGACGCTTTATTTTTGTGAACGTGCCAAGAAGTTGCTTGTTTTAGAAACATTTTGGAAAATCCTGCACCCATTGATGGAGCAGTATGGGAAAATATGGTACTTTTAAATTAAAGCCACCAGTGCCTGACCATAATTCATACAAATCTGTTTTCTGTATTTCGTGTGGGTATTTTTTCCCCAGCAGAGGACAGATGATACAAGGTCAGACGGTCTGTAAGTCAAAACCATATAAAAGGATTTAAAGCTCAGTTCTACTGCTTCTCTTCACAGCACCTTCAACCCACCCCCAGTGTCTTCAGAACAGTCCACCAACTGCTACATTACCTCCATTAAAAGAAATTCAAGCTTACCTACAGCAGCCCACTTAGAACACGTCTGTTAAAGCTGCTTCTCAGTGATGAGCTGTTCCTTTCCAAAAACCTAGGCTAAACCAGCAGCTGTACTTCTCAGGTAGGGATGGTGCCTCTTACACGATCGCTCTGCTCTCTTACCCAGGACAAACCAGAAATGAATTATAGCTTCAGCTGAAGCTAAAAACCCCAAATAAACTGGCTTGTCTGGACTCCAGGGCACGGGAGCTGAGTATGCAAGACTTACCTGGGTCACTTTTGGGGTGGCCCTGCCCCTTGCAGCCACTGCTGTGTTTAAACGCACCCCACCCCCCTTGCTCCTCACCCCTTTCCAAGCCGCAGCGATTGTGCCGCCCACGTGAACCTACATACAGCTGTAACCACTTCAACGCGAAACAAGAATCCCCACGACGACAGAAATATCTATTTCGTCATTCAGAAGGAGCTGCATCTATTTATTTTGGTTATCTCTACCAGTAGGTGTCATGATACAGCAACCTGTGAAAATTCTTGGTGTAGTAGGAGATAAAGTGGTTAAATAAACACTAATAATTACGGAATTTTATTTAAATTATTGGATGTCAGTGGTTAAAAGGATGGTTAATTTCGCTAGGTGCTACCGCACAGACATTAGATCCCTTCTTTTGGATCCGCTGCATATAAAAACCTCTGTCACTACCGAATTGATTTTTTTTTTTTTTAATGCCTGTGTAATATACCTGTTTCCCTTGTTCCAGGAACGGTACCCGCCCTTCAGTGGGACACACTAATAACGGGGTGGGTAAGTGACTGAGGAGTGGAATCCTCTGAAGAAATTCATCATAACCTCTCCTTTGAAGAGAGAGATTCAAAACGAATGCCACACATTTGCTACATCTAAGAGCAGTCCGCTTAGCTGGTTTTGTCACACATCAAAGCACACTGACAGCCATGTCCACTTTTGTGATTATTCTGATTCCAACCTTCTGGCAAAAAAAAAAAAAAAAAGCAAAAAAAAAAAGCTGTCTGATGTGGGAAATTAATTAAAAGTAATGGCAATATGTCAGGTGGCTGGGCTAACTAGCATCATCCCCATTCAGTAATGTTGTGCCCCAGTGAAGTTGCAATTATAAATGTAAAAACATCATAGCAAAGCATGACTATAACTGCATGTCACACTTTTTCCCCGCACTTCCCTCCTGCTAAGAGGATGATGAAACACAAAAATAGTTTAAATAAGCATGGAAGAATGTCCTATTGATATCCACATTCCAGAGTGGGGTACATGACCAGGGAGCGGGGAAAATGTTTTGGCACAGGCACACCTGTATTCACAGACATGAGCTGCTGAGGATTAAAGCATGGCACCCACTTTCTCTCACCTTCACCGCACCAAGCCTGCAGAGCAGCATCCACTCTCTGCTCTCACGGGCATCCAGGCAAGCAGAGGGTACAAATGCCAGACTGGATGTTTGGTTTTCGAGCCTTTGCCTGTACAGACATGTTGTGATTCAAGAAGAATGAAGTAGCAGTAGTTTTAAGTTTGATCCAACTGCTGGCCTGATGACTTCTCCTGAACATGTTTCTGGCTCTCATTGAAAGCACCTGTTAAAATGTTTTGAGTTTGGGGTTTTTTTTTTTCTTTTTTTTTAAATTTATTTTAGCCCATAAAGAATGTGGTTGCAAAAAAAAACCCCACCATGTTACATGCAAAGGCCTTGTTACCGTTCAGTGAGGGAAGACAGACTGGGGGGTAACAAATCTTATTAGAAATGTGTAAACCCTCCTTTGTCTACCCTTGCTTCACGTTCTCAGCAAAGTTCTTGCTCTAGGGATCATGCAAAACCATTCTAGGTATTTTTAAATTATTTTTGCAGCCCCTATTTTGAAGCTACTACTGTGGTTTTCAGGCATTTGTGTTTACAACTGAATTTCTAGATTCTTGAAGAGTTAATATGAGAAAATAGATGGAGTCTTATTAAATGGATTCCTGAGGACAGATGGAAGCAAAAATATTTAAGCATGTGCATTTCCTCTTAGTGAGAAACCCCAACCCTACAAAATCAGTAAAGGAGCCAGTGAGAACAAATACGGCACGAGGTTTAGAAGGCACCATAGATGCGTACAGGGTTAACCACGAGGAGCCCATGGGCGACCTCTGGTAGGGGAAGACCTGGCTGACCTCTTTTAGCTCAAACTCCCCAACGACCCACACAGGGGAGTGCCTCTGATTTGGGAGGGCTGATCACCCAAATCTTACCTGAGTGTTGGATGTAAGACAGCACTGCAACAAGCACTGCCATCTGCAGAACAGAACCAAAACTGCTTAACTGTTAATAAAACTTCTTTAGTTTGTCAACTGTGGGTTCTACACAGCACACCTCCACCATGTCATACCGTCATTCTTGAAGGAAGTGAGGCAAGATCACTACATTATTTTGGTATCTCAAAATACTACTCAAAATGTTGCCTTGGAGGGAAGCTCAGTCTCTGTTGAATTCCTACCATAAATGCACTTTGGGAAAAGAGAAGGCAGTGACACAGGAGCCACTGTCGGAAATACCTTAAATCCCGTTCCCAAGTGTTTCTCAAACACAGAGAGAAGCAACAACCCTCTTCTGGGGACCATTCTGGGGGATGATTTTCAAAACTGCTGCTGCTCACCAGTTTGCAAAAACAGAGGTCTGGTTGTGTGGTGCCAGACTGGGACAGTTTTTCACTTGCCTCTACTTTGACCTCAGTTTCAAAGCAATATTCTCACATAAACCACAAGTGAAATATTCACAAGGGGAAGCTACCACAGCATACCTGCTTGTCACGAATAAAAATTGCTTTCAGTGTGGTTTACCATTTTTAGCGTTCACACTGAGTCCATTACTCGGGAACTAGATTTTACAAGCAACCATTAGCAAATGGGCTAGCAGGTTTCACTAGATGAACATAGGGTCTCTGGCACCCAAACCAAATTCTTACCCTTTTTTTTTTGAATTGGAGGAGGATCAGTTAGTGATGGAAGAGCTTTTTACTTTCATCTGAGAGCTATCAGCTTTCTAGAAAACGACATGTAGTCAGAGTATTTGCTCTGGGCCTCCCAGCTTGGCTGTGATCACTGGAAGAACTATTATAATGAGAGATGTGCAATCAAGTCTGCACTTCATCCAGGTAAATGCTGTGATTGTTTTAATTGAATATCTTTCTTACTGTTTTAGTTGCACTTAAGACTGAAATTCCAGCTCCTTGCAAGGCATCCCTTTCGCGAGGTTTGCCAAAGCCTGAACTGAGTAAAGCTCAGGTGAATGCTTCTCATTTTTATAACGATTTTCTAAGCTCTTAGCCTGAGAGCTGCTCTCTGTCTAACAAGTGCCATCTCTTTTCTCGTTCAAGAGAGGCCCCAACAGCTGTTATTCACAACCTGGGACAGGATGTGCAACGTTCCAACTGCAGGTAAGTCTTTCTAATAGTTCACTAACACAAATTTGGTGAACAAAATTTTGACAAGCAGAGTAAACTGTGCCCACTCAAAATGTGTCGAGTTGAGTCTTGCCTGGAGTAACTTAAGACAAAGAGATCCGGATCTGCAGAGTCCTTTCAGGGCTTGGTGCTCACCAGGGCACCTAATGCCTACTGCTTTCTTTCATTGTATTGTGTCATTCGCATCGTATTACCATAACAATGACCCTCTTATTGGTGGGGAGCAATAGAAGGCTAATAAAAAATCAGTATCCCTGTTAGTATTCTCCTTCCCCCTTACAGAAGAAAAGAAAGTCGCCTTTTATAGTGTCTAGGACGGGCAGATGGCCCTTTTTAAGCAAAGAAGATTCATTTTCACTTCTTTACATGATAAAAATGTACCATCTAGCATGATGTACAGAGTGACAGCTAATAATCACATTTCTCTCTTGGTTTCTTGACAATGGAATTCTCTTTCAAGTCCTAAAATAACAGTATGAAGTTCCAGTGACAGTGATATAGGAAACTGTGCCGCTGAAAGCTTTTCTGAAATACTACCAGAGCATCCCCAAACTGCCCACAATACCCAGTACTACAGCATTTCACAGAGATTTTCCACAAACTCTTCAGCCCAAAAATATTGGGAATGCAATGACCAGCCAAAAGGCCATTGGGAATGAGAGCTTTTCATCATACAGTAATCATGACAGCATATTCCTATGCATACTGTAGTAATGGGTCAAGACATTGACCTTGATAGGCTGGAGAAGTGGGCCAACGTGAACCTCATGAAGTTTAACAAGGCCAAGTGCAAGGTCCTGCACCTGGGTCAGGGCAACCCCCGGTATCAATACAGGCTAGGGGATGAAGGATTGAGAGCAGAGAAGGACTTGGGGATATTGGTGAATGAAAAATTGGACATGAGACAGCAATGCGTGCTGACAGCCCAAAAGGCCAATCCTATCCTTGGCTGCTAAAAAGCAGTGTGACCAGCAGGTCGAGGGAGGTGATGCCTGCCTAAAAAGCAGTGTGACCAGCAGGTCGAGGGAGGTGATTCTGCCCCTCTACTCTGCTCTGGTGAGACCCCACCTGGAGTACTGCATTCAGTTCTGGAGCCCTCAGACATGGAACTGTTGGAACGGGTCCAGAGGTGGGTCACAAAAATGGTCAGAGGACTGGAACACATCTCCTGTGAAGAAAGGCTGAGAGTTGGGATTGTTCAACCTGAAGAGAAGGCTCTGGGAGACCTCACTGCAGACTTGCAATATGTAAGAAAGACAGCAAGAGCCTTTCTACCAAGGCCCGTAGCGACAGGACAAGGGGCAATGGTTTTAAACTGAAAGAGGGTAGATTTACATTGGCTATAAGGAAGAAATTTTTTATGATGCAGTTGCTGAGACACTGGAACATTTTGCCCCAAGAGGTTGTGGATGCCCCATCCCAGGAAGTGTTCAAGGCAAGGTTGGACAGGGCTTTGAGCAACTTGATCTAGTGGAAGCTGTCCCCACCCCCAGCAGGGGGGTTGGACTAGATGGCGTTTAAAGGTCCCTCCCAACCCAAACCATTCTATGATTCTACCCAGATCTAAATGATTTGGTGTTTAAACCACTAAACCTTAGTTGATAACCATGTGATAGTTTTTTTTTTTTAATTGAGTATGATTTCAAGCCCTTCTCCAGCAATATTTTTAAGGTAACAGAGTGACAAAGAAGTTAGCTGGGAGAATAGACAGGGGTGTGCTGAGTTCTTTGATACCCTAGTCCAAAGAAGAGGGTGGACTTCCACTGCAGGAATTTCCCCACATAGCGGTAGAAATCTGGACTCCATACACTGTAAACAAACACTATTAATAATAATTTTTAAAAAGGACCCATCATATGATTTTGTACTTTAGCACTGAGACTATGAAAGTTTTCCGAATGTGGACCTCAGCTGTACGCTGGATATTAAAGATTTATATTAAAACTATACTTTTCTTTTTTTTTATAGTTTAATGTTTGCATTGAAAAGAATAGAATAAGATTGGACCAAGACATTAAAAAAAAAATTAGCCTG